CCTCTAGTAATATATTTACTGAGAAAAATGGTGACGTGTTCAATACTTATTTTACCTGCTGTATCTCACATAGTCGCAGCGGTGAACTCGGTCAATACTAATAAGTCAAAAGTGATAGTAAACTCATTTTGGTAGCTTGCAGAAAAGAACTATGAGTTTTCTTGGCAAACTTTTAAAATACCTTCTTTTCAAATGTGAATAAGGCAAACAAACAGTCTTGCCAAAATAAAAGCAAACCTCTAATGAGCTTCACATGTTTATTTACGGAAGGGCTGACATGGTGGAGGCCCAAATATTGGAAACTACAGTGATCCCTCACTATAACGCGGTTCACTTTTCACAGTCTCGCTGCTTCACAGATTTTATTTCAAAATGCATTGTATTCTGCATCCTGATTGGCTAAACAGTCTCCGTGCTTCTTCTCTTCCTGTGTGCCAATAATGTACGGTATTTATATGTAATACAGCTTGGCGAATTTCAGTTTGCAAATTTTCTCCAAAACCCATAATGTCGACAATTTTCGTCACAGACAAAGGCACTTGCGGATGCGCCCAAAAGGCAGTATCACAGAAAAAGTCAAACTTTTGGACATGCTAAAGGAGGGTAAAAGCTATAGGGCCATAGGTCCCTATCACAAAATTAATGAATCTTTGGTTCGTTCCATAAAGAGGGAGGAAAAGGAGGATGCTGCGGAGTCGGGCCGCAGCGTCACAGTCAGAGGCACAGTGAAATGCATGTCACAATTTGTCCAACTGTACTTCGCATTGATGATTCAAATGATTATTCTTACTGTAAGAAAGCATTCTATTTGTTAAAAAAAAACATGCTCGGGCCTGATTTCAATGTACAATAGTTGTATGCTGTACATAATAATTGTAAAAAAATAAAGGTAACACTACTTCACGGATTTTGCCTATCACGGGTGCTCTTTGGAACCTAACCCCCGTGAAAAACAAGGGATCACTGTATACACATTTTATTATTGTTTTAATTTAAAGAACAATTAATGTTTTATTTGTGTAAGTATGGCTGATGCTACCATCTCTTAAGCCCTATCTCCACCTAGGCACTTTTATGGGGTTCGGCTTGGATCGGCCTTGGCCGAATGTGTCTCCATTAGGTTCCAACCGCACTCAACTGTGCTGTTTCAGTACCTCCTCTCCGGCGGTTCTAAGCGGGTAGAAGTGAGTACAACGTGCTTACGGATTTTATGTCAGAAGGATGCTGTCTGTGGATTAGCTGTGGGATTGAATGACAGAGGAAAGGGCAGAGAGAGATATGCTTTTGCTTTGGAATAGGAGCGCGTGGCGCGGTACAACAACATGGCAAAATCAGTGATAAAACCTCGGTCTAACCCTTTTTGGCGATCTTGGGAAAGGCAGAACTTGTAAACACTTCCTGGAGTGCGGTGAAGGAGACGAAGCTGAGCAGATAACCAGGAGGTTTTGAACAAACCGGCTGCCCATGGTAACACAAGCACTGCAACAAAAAATACACAAATAAAAAGTAAAGTCTGAATGGTAACAACAGTTTTTTTTAAACACAACATCTCAAGCCACTGTAAGGGACACACTGAAATGGACGCGCACCCGAGCAGAACCGAACAGATCCGAACCGAATAGAATAGAACTGTGCACACGGAGAAATCCAGATTGCAACACTGTTTGGCTATTTAACAGGCCACACCCAAAAATGTCACCAGTTTAAAAAAAACACCAGTTAATATCAAACACTTTTAGATTAAAAATTCGAGCTACAAAACAATACTTTATTTGTCTCTTCTTTTAAATGTTGGAACTTAAATTCATTTGCCTTTAAAATATTAATAATGCCTTATCCTAAAAAAAATGCTGGGCCCTTTCAACATCTGCGTGAGTTCGAAAGGCACAACCACTGATTTAGGCAGTGTCACAAACCTGAGTGGCCTGTCTTGTTGCTTGTCTGCTCCAACTGAAATGATGGTGTAATGAGGCATTGCGAGGCAGCTGTTTAGCCGGAAAAAAAAATGATCAATTTGACCAGGCAAGATGAAAGATACTGTACATATGTCAAATGGATTTTTTTTTCCTCGCTGCTGCACTGGTTAGTGTGTGACAACCCGCT